TTGTAACGCTTCTTCAGCAAAGTGTGGATTTACTTCACCAATATTACAACCAACAGCGGAGACACATCATATACATCATATAATCGTCACTTCCCTACAGGTACTGTTTACACCTTGTGACAGCGCCAACTACTGGCCTGGCATACGTAATACAGCGTTTTTGGCCATTTTCGCGGATATGTGTAAACAGGAATTGTTTTGAAAACATTGTCGTGTATACGTGAAACTTTTTAAAAATGCAATGGAAAAACTTTTCCGTTTTTGACTACACTGTTGTCGTGTAAACGTAGCCTTAATTCCTTCAACCCTGTCTGTTTGTCTTGTATTTGTCAGGTTCACAGAGTCTGTAAGAGTAAAGGAGGATATCTCAGGAGCTGAAGCTACCAAACACCCTCCAATCAAACATTTGTACAGGCCTCCTCAGTGCCTTTGATAACACGTCCCACCTCAACCCGCACTTCTGTCTCTTTCCTCAAAATGACAGGACACTCTGTGATAAAGCATGAAAACATGACAGCCAGAGAGATGAAAGTACAGAGGAAACATCTGACAGATGCCAGCAGCTGTCTTTAACCAGCCTTAAACACACACAAACACTTTCAAATAAACTTCTGGACACGTAAAACACAACCACACACAGTATTCTGTTCTCCTTTGAAATTTTAGATGCTTTTCATTTAAAATCAGAGTTAAAAGTTACTCTCACTTTTCCTGATTCATCACAGACGCCAATTAACAAAGACACAAACCCTCCTACAAAAACAGCATTCACCTAACACTAAGGACACATGCTGTGTGAGACCATTACAGTCACATGGACACCAAACAACAACACAAACACTGGCTTGTATTTGCTTTGGATGTGAGGGTAATTTGATTTTCATGGATCCTATTACTGAATGTTGTTACCATGGTGAATCTGTTTGGGGTAAGAATGCTGGCATTGTCACACCCAAAAAATGTGTTCATACTACGTAAACGCCACAGTTTTTGTGTCGAAGACTGATTCTGTTCACTCTGTTGGCCACTTTTCCACTTGTTTTTTTCTTCCTTGTTTTCACTTTTACTTTACCCCAGCAAATTAGGATAAAAACAGGCGTTGGCACCGTGAGCTTGTGTATGTGTGTGTGTTTGACTTGACCACAGCAGAGTAAGTATCTGCAGATGTACCCCTCCTCCACCATCAGAGCCGCATGTTAATTGCCTTTCACACGCTGTATCTATGAGCCAGGACACTTTTTCACACCTGCACAAACCTATCAAGCATCAGACGTCCCCTGCAGATCCAGGCATCTAACAAGGCAAATGCACACATTTTTGCTGACACAATTTTGAGACTATTTTGTGTCTTATAGCAACATACTGCAAATGAGAGTCAAATATTAAGTTTACTTTTTAAAATGAAGGTCACTTTTGCTCCAATATAGTTTTTGTTTCTTGTCTTTAGTGGATCACCTAGGCTGTCATACCAAGACTGGCTTAACTAAAGGCAGAAGATGATGGGACAAATGTTTGTAATTATGTGTTTACAAATGTTTGTAAAACAGTAATTATTTTTGCAATTCTGTTTGGTGGCATTAATGGAAATGACACACCCCACCTTTATGATGCAATATTTCCACCCTAGAATAGTTTTGCCTTTTCAAATCTATGGAGGTATTAGGCCTATTGTTTTCTAACCAGGTAAAACACAGTATGCCAAACACTATTTATGTCAAACACTTCACTCACAACAATAAATAAAAACAATTAATAAAAACAATAATAATTAAATAAACACCTTGGTCTTTATTACAAAAATCAAATCAACATTACATAAGTAGATTTACACAATTCAAAGATATCCTAATGTACAGTGTGAAAAAATAATATTCATTTAAAAATAACTAAAGATGACATCTAAAACTGTTACTACTGTTTCTTCTTCAAAAAACTATAATAATATGGTACCACTATATTGTTAGCTAAATATAAATTCTAAAATGCAACTACAATATTTCTCATATAGCTTTGTTACTGACATCACAAAATGTGTTTCCAATCAAACTCTATGGTATTTTGCCACAAGTTCATTTGTGACTTGGAAGCTAGACAGATGCCAACATGGCTAGATTGTGTGATATAAAAGACTATGCAAAATTAAAATACTACCCAAACTACATTCAGTAAGAGTAACGTTTGGGATTATGTTGAGTCCTCATTTGATATCCAAAGCAAAATC